ATTAGGGACGGCTAGCGCAGATAGCCCTCGTGTAGCTTTGCGCGAAATTCCAAACAAACAAACAAACAATAATGAATTAATTTTTTAATAATGAAGAAAATCATTTCCTTATTGATACGATTCATTGTTTGCAAGTAAAAAAAATAAATTCTTTCGAACATGCTCACTGAATTACACATCTAACACAATGTTAAACTAGTTATAAACATTCATGATACTTTACCTTCTTTTCATTCGAAGAGCCCCCCAGTGGCACAGCGGTATGTCTGGGGACTTACAACACTAGAATCCGGATTTCTATTTCCTTGGTGGGCAGAGCACAGATAGCCCATTGTGTAGCTTTGTGCTTAATTACCAACAAACAATCATTGGAAGAGTGTTAGGCCTGAATCAGTTGTAAGTTTAATTATATTTTTCGAACTGTAAATATTAATATGGGCTAATAGCAATATAAATGGTCATGGATACAGAATATAAGGTGTAGATACCTAATAGTGAAATGACATTTTACTTCAGTTTATAACACTCCTGTGAAAAATATGTTTTGATACGAGTTTTATTAATCCTCATTAAATTCGCTCTTCAGTCAACAACTACCTGAATTTATTATTGTATTAACATAACTATCTACCAAACTTCTCTCTTTATTAATTGGCCAGGTGGTTAAGGCACTCGACTCGCAATCTGAGGGTCGCGGGTTCGAATCCCCGTCACACCAAACAATACTCGCCCTTTCAGCCGTGGGGACGTTATAATGTGACGGTCAATCCCACTATTCGTTGGTAAAAGAGTAGCCCAAGAGTTGGCGGTGGGTGGTGATGACTAGCTGCCTTCCCTCTAGTCTTGCACTGCCAAATTAGGGATGGCTAGCGCAGATAGCCGTCGTGTAGCTTTGCACGAAATTCAAAACAAACGAACAAACTCTTTATTAATATCTGGTATAATTTGTTTGTGTTTAAGTGCTATTTGCGCTTTGCCTACCAGGGGTATCGAAACCCAGTTTTTTAGCGTAAAAGTCTTAAAGCTTAACGCTGAACCACTGGAGGTGGAGGAGGAAGGCATCAGGCATAGAAAAAACAACTTTAATAGTGCAAAATCAGTCCAACTTTTGAAACACAAACTTAATCTTGACCTCGTGTCTCTATATTTTTTTATTTTACTAACACTACGCTGAAGTGAACTTTAAAACAATTTTCATGTCTGAATATCTGTATGTGTATATTTATTGATATGCATCTCGAGGTCGGGACTTTTACACTCAAGGTCAGGTGTTTTAAATACTAGTTTATATCAGAGAACTATGTCGTTTATTCCTTATACAAGTAATTCTATTAAACGCATGTATATGTCAATTAGTTCTGTGTACTGTCGTCAATATACAAGTGCAAATCTACCACAAATAAGTGTCTGCTTAACAAACTCTGTTGAATTTAGGGCAAAGCAACACGAGGATATCTGCGCTAGTCGTTCTAATTTTGAAATAATAGACTATAGAGAAGGCAGCTAGTCAACAGTACCCATCATCAACTCTTGGGGAACTTTTGTCTGACGAAATATTTCGATTTAACCATTACTCTTATAACGCACCCACAACCCAAAAATACAAGCGTGATTTATTATTATCATTTGTGGTAACTGTGCAAGAGCGATGGGTGTGCAGGTCTATAGTCCAGTACATTAACCAATGGGCTACACTCAGCCCAGAACATGATTAATTATAAGTAATCCTATTTATTTTTAGGGAAACACCGTTTAAAACTATCCGGAGATTTTATTACAAAAAACTAATTTTACTTAATAAATATACCAAATTATTTTTAACATATGTCGTAGATCAGCGTTTTTCAAACTGGGGTCAAAGAAGGTACTCCTGAGGAACCGCAAGTCATGTCCGAAATTTCAAAAAATATTTTAAGAAATATGATTTATAATATTTTTCGTAAAATTAAATCTATATGAATTAAAACATTTAATTTTGGAATACAGCTTTTCATGTACACGGAACCTTTTTTTATTCAAAACAAAAACGTCGACAGGTTTAGAGGTCCGCGAAAAACTATTAAAAGGGGTCTCCATGTTACTAAACTTTGAGAATCACTGTCTAGGTGAAATATAGTCTGCTAATTATATGTGACCTATGTAGAAATATCTAATTTAAAGAAAATTTCGAACATAAAAACTATCATACCTGTAAAGATTCCTTAGCCATTTCAGCGACACTGAATCTCTTTTTCTGGTTTGCTGTTTTGCTCGTCCTTATCACAAGATTCTGAGAAGACTCCGCCTTCGTGGTTTAGCCAATAGCAATCAAAATGGAGGTTATTTATTAAATGTAAAAGTCACTGTTGCGCAACTAGTACGAAGGGTATGCGAGGCCTTTTAAACACGTAGTTGTGATTATTAACATAGTAGAAGCCAAGAAATTAATTATAAGCACCAAAGACATAAAGCAATGAATAAATAAACTATATAAAAGGTAATTTATCAATTTTTAAACCAAATAAGTACAAAAAAGAAGAAATGGCAGATATATTAAATCAATGAACAATATTTAAGACCACAAAATAAAAAATCTAAAACATCCAATATCATGTAAAAAATACAATAAATCATATCTAGTCTCTAGTCTAGTAACTCAGTGAGGTAATGGTCACGTGATCTGCACTGAAACAAATATAATGTAACATTTGATTACCTAATTTCAGTTTGTTTGTGGAGCCCCCCCCCCCCCCCCACGTAGCACAGCGGCATGTCTGTGGACTTACAACGCTAGAAACCGGGTTTCGATACCCGTGGCGGGCAGAGCACAGATAGCTCATTGTGTAGCTTTGCGCTTAATTCCAAACAATTGTTTACGGAATTTCGTGTAAAGCTACTCCAAGGGTGTCTCCACTAGCCATGCCTAATTTAGAAAACAGATATTTCAGAGCCATGAATAGCAAATAGTTCCCTAGTTTGAAAATACGCGCATGGCTATAAATGATGCCAGATTTAAACTTTACATATTAATCTGACAGAAATTGATGTATAAGTGGCAAAATGTTTATCGAATTTGATAAAATATACAAATGTCCATTTGAAACGCTGGTTGCAATGCAGGAGACTGAAAACGTTGGAAAATTAGAACTTACATATTACCAATATGTAATAATGTATATATATATATATATTAACTAAATTACAGGTTTCCTATTTACACCCACAATAAGTACTAACACTACTACTAATATAGATTATTTAATAGTGATTTTTATAGACTTGTTTTGGCAGAAGTTAGGTTTCTACAACTCATTATCAGCTATTGTTATTTTTTAATTTAATAATTTATTTAGTAGGCTTTGTTACGTTGTAATTCAACACAATTTTAAGTGAGGATCCTAAATGATAATTCAGCGATAATCAGATTTCCAGTTTGTGCGTACGAATCGTATAGGTCAAAACCTGTTTTTCTTTCTTTCTTTTTTATTTTTTTAGAACATGTAGGTGCCATTGAATGTTAATTGTGATCTCATTCCAGGGTACTTATCTGTGAGTATGCCCAATAAACTTAAAGACCAAAGGTTCCACAGCATGTCCTTAGGTATTTAAAAGCGCCAATAGATTTAGAGTAGCTTTGCGGGAAAATTCAATACATTTGCTTTCTCTTTCTCACTATTTTCATTTTATTTGTAGTTCGTTATAATACAAATTATTTTCATTTTGTATGCACAAAAATCTTTAGAAGTTTTAAGACTAAAACTCAGAATATTTAATTCTTATTTTGATTTGTTATTATAATTCGTACGTGCCGAACTCTGTACAAGACTAGAAAATAGATAGTAGTGTCTATAAAGAAAAGTGGTATAAGCTGGAATTGTTTGTTTGTTTTGAATTTCGCGCAAAGCTACACGAGGGCTATCTGCGCTAGCCGTCCCTAATTTAGCAGTGTAAGACTAGAGGGAAGGCAACTAGTCATCACCACCCACCGCCAACTCTTGGGCTACTCTTTTATCAACGGTTGACCGTCACATTATAACGCCCCCACGGCTGAAAGGGCGAGCATGTATGGCGTGACGGGGATTCGAACCCGCGACCCTCAGATTGCGAGTCAAGCGCCCTAACCACCTGGCCATGCCGGGCCAAGCTGGAATTAATTAGTTTAATAAATCAACCTATAATAACCTATGGGAAACAAGTATCTTCTATTATTCCAGTAACAGGATAAAAATTGTTCAATTCACAAAATATTTTGTTGTAATGCATTTCATCGTTTGGTGGGACCAGTCCATGCAACTATTTTATTTTTTCTATAATGTTTGTTACAGGCCTGTGGACCCGTGACCGTTTTCTTCAAATAATGAACTTCTTTTTTCAATTAGAACAAATGAAGTATTCCCAGTTGAACTTCGCCCCATAAATCTAGCTAATCTTTTGTTTGTTTGGTTTTTAGTTAACTCTTTGTTGTTCCTTTAATCTGGTTGGGCTCTGTCTCCTTGGCTTGATAACAACTATTAAATCCTTACAGTCTTGGTTGTAATGACCACACTTCTCAAAATTATGACAGCTCCTTTTTATTGGCGTCCTTTGAGGGGAGTGTTATTCTCTACAGGTTTTTGTCTGCAATTCCTGGTTTATTTTCCCCATCTTGTGTAACTAGTTATTTGACTCATCCTTTCAATTCTTCTAGACTATTATCAGAGGGAGTTGCTGTTTCAATTCTACTTGATCTGATGATCCTGTGATTTCTTGATGGTGCTTTTAGTTGTTTATGTGCAACTTTATTAATGGATGCCAACTGTACAGCTTCCCTTAAAGATGTACACCTACTTTGCTTCAACCTAATTTCCATATCCTCGTCTGTTGTGACATCTTTAAATTGGTCATGTGTGAACGAATCTATCGTTTCACGTGGAATATCTCAGAAGGATAATAGGGCCAACCTTTTCAATTCTTCTGCAAGTTTGGTTAATGTCTCTTCTATTTCTCTAAATTCTATTCTGAAACTCTGGTCAGAATACTTCCTTCTGGTGTATCACTCTGAAGATGTTGGATAAAGCAGTTAGCTACCAATGACTGGATAAAGCAGTTAGCTACCAATGACTGGATAAAGCAGTTAGCTACCAATGACTGGATAAAGCAGTTAGCTACCAATGACTGGATAAAGCAGTTAGCTACCAATGACTGGATAAAGCAGTTAGCTACCAATGACTGATAGTTGTTATGGCCCTCAGCTAGAAGGTTACTTAATATCACTAAAGCAGGTCCTTTTAAATGGGCAACAAAATGAATAGCTTGTTGTTCTCTGTTGTACTTGTTCATTTTGGAAATTATTTCAACTGAGCCTTGATACTTTTCCATCATAATATCGATAAGGTAATGATGTTGAAATGGCCAGGTAAATTCTGGAACTGGATTTCGTAGTGACATGATTAGAGTAGTTTAGGAAGGTCCTGCAATCACAGATGACGCAGCATTAATTGTAATAGATGTAGACCAAATAGGTTCTACTATTCTATATTTTGTAATGAAACTTACCACTGAGGATGTGATCATGATGAAAGAGGTATTCCAGAATGGAAAGTTAGATATTTCCACGCTGTTTATGCAACAAGGCAGGGACTTGTGAACATATGTGCAAAAAAAAAAAACAGACTTGTATGAAAATTAATTCAATCTTGGCAATTCAGATTTGTATAATTCATACATATTTCAATTTGTGTTATTTGTAAATTAGATTGTTTCAAAATAGAGCTAGTAAACTAAACATTCATGGTTTTAACAATTTAAATCTCACTGATTTTGTTGAAAATAGTGATATCTATTATTAGTCTACTCTAATCAGTGTGCTATAAACTTCGGAAGCTATTACTGTAGTTGTTATAACGCTTATCAATCGGAAAACTTCAGATATTTGACCAGGAGCATTTACAAAGTTCGAATATTACAACTCATTTAACTTCAGTGGATTCATATCGGACATTAATACTTTTACGAAAACATTACACAACGTCATCGGTGGAAAACCCGATGTGTGTGGCTGGTAAATAACGAAGGACAAAGCTAGCTAGCTTCCCGTTAAGCGAATCGTACCTACATCAACTCGTAATTAACTCGCTCATCGTGAACTCTCGATAAGATATCAAGGAAGTTCCAGAGTAGAAAGAAGACTTTATATTGCTTGTAAGTTTGTGAAACTTTTGTTTATAAATCATTGTTTGTAATAACTATTTGTAATAACTGTTATTGTAAATTGTATTGTTGTGTACATATTAAAACGTATTTGTGTTAAAAAAGAAAACTGTGTATCAATCTTGTTGGCAAATATCATAAACTGACTATATATCGGTATATATTTAAATACTGAATCCAAAGTACAATTTAACTACTAAATTTAAATTATCGGTTAACTCAATTTCAGACCATTTGAAATTCTAATACGTAACAACACATAGTGTAATGAACAATATCTTCTTTTTAGTCACACTATGGTAAAGTAAAAGCTCTTCTACTAGTTTTGCTGATCTGGGAGAAACGTGATCACCACCCGTATTTTTCTACCCACCCTTTTTTGTATCCAAGTATGATAGATTATTAAAATTGGGACCAAGGAAATTGGATATAACCACGAAATGTGGGTATGTAAGCTCTGTAAAAAATATCATACTCTTCTTGCATGTTTTGGCAGCTTCTAGAGAAAGCAGTGATCATTGCTTTGGAAAAACTGCTTCAAGATTATCCATAACGGAACATTTATATTATTTGTGTCTAGTTGCCTCAATTTTCGATTGAAGAAAAGATTTTCCAAAAGTACTTTGTGGGCTAGCATCAACCTGTAGCTGTCGTTTATTCTGAATTTATATATGACTAGATTGTTGAAATGCGCGTTGGGACACGTCATCCTCGTACACTAAACGGATTATTGAAACTAAGCAGGGAAAATGGAGTGCTTTGGATATGACCAAGACTTTTGCAATAGAAACTACGCTATATGACTACTGGGAAAGATGCAATGTGATCAGAAAAAGCATAACCTGACGTGGCAACATGGGCTGTAACTACGTGGTGAGGCTTCAAAATTGTTTTAATATAATGTAGTTAACTTTTATATAATGCTAAGTCATCTAAGTCTGGAACAGCTTATCTTCAAGTCTCTGTCCTTCGTTACACTCGTCACCTTTAATTGTTCTGTTTCACATTGTTATAAACTGCGTCCATGTGTTTCATGTTTCCAAATTCAAAGTAGGAGAAAGTAATTTAACTCAGCATAACATCTTCTGATCATGTCTCATGATTCATCAAAGGAAACTCAGTACATCTGAGAATACGACACTATCTTTTCGTCTGTGTTTTAAAAGCATGTACGTTTATATCGAATATAATTTGAATTGGTAATTCTTTCCAGTTTTGAGCTTGCAGTTCTTGTCTTGTAAAATGTAAGTAACATTATTACTCACCACATATGATAATGTATTTATTTAATTAACAGAAAATAGTCCGAGAAAACTTATGGAGTATTATGTGAGTTTAGTTGTACATGATTCTTGATAATTTTTTATTTGGAAATTCATTCAAAGATAATAAACGATGGTATTACATACTCTCTTACGTTTAATTTACAAGTATATATAATGCTTTTAGTGGTTGTTCTTTAAGGTAAAAATAAAGAGTTTTACCTGTGCTGTCCTAGATCCACATGTAGTAATTGAAATAAGATTAAAAGTGGTATATCAGAAAAATAAATTTTCATTTTAAAAAATAAATATATTTTTTTGCGTTCATTGTTTGATTGTAATTAAGCACAAAGCTACACAATGGGCTATCTGTGCTCTGGGCCCTCCAGTGGCACAGCGGTATGTCCGCGGACTTACAACACTAGAAACCGGGTTTCGATACCCGTGGTGGGCAGAACACAGATAGCCCATTGTGTAGCTTTGTGCATAAATTCAAACAAACAAACAAACAAAC